ATTTTAATTTTATTACAAAATGCTATGGTACAATTTCGTCTTGTCATTGGCTCATTTTAGATTGTTACATTGAAATTTGTATTTAATTAAACTTAATTGATTGTAGGCTAGATGGAACTGCATTATTGAAAATTTTGATTTGAATTACATATGTTGGACTGCAATTTTTATTTCGCGGCTTTTATCTTGCGATTAAGCCATTAGGTGAAAAATCACAGCGTCAAAAATTGCGTACAATCATCCCTAGTTTGTTACTTTATTTATATTCAGGTATTGAAGAGGTATTTAAGTCTTTTGGTTTACCACTTACCACAGTTACAGTTCATACATTTTTTTTCCCCCATATTTAAAAGAATACTGTTGAGTTGTTGATCTTCTACTCATGAGTTCGAACCCTGTTGTTGCCTACTCTGGCAGGCCTTGCATTCTGGTACTCAAACGTGCATTGTTTATGAGCAGTAAAATGGTTTTATCCCTATTAAAATTAGGCTATTGTCCATGAATATATATCGGCGGATTTCCATCAAGCCATTTTGCTTAGACTATAGTTATAAGGATTTGGACCTCCTTAAAGCTTCATAGCCATCGAATACTTTTGAAAATAACTGTACGGTTTGACGTTATCTAACGCATCAATTTATTTCTATTTGTAAATTGATACAGTTTCATCTATTCTACTTCAAGTTTGCTGCCAGAAGCCGATTAGAGTATGTGGAGATAGTAATTGTTTTGCAGGAAGTGTTTCCCTGCTGTTGTATAGAACAGAATCTAAGCATGAAAACATTAGAAAACAAATAGCCTATGACCTCATAAAAAAACCTTAGGGTGTATACAACTTCTGCAACTTTATGTGAAATGTCACAATACAATAGAGATAATTATGCATCTACAATTACTTGCAATGTATTCGAGAGATAATTTTGAAGAAAAAGTTATTCAAACAACGAAAAGTGGCCATTTCACATCTCTGTTGCATTTCTATGCTTTAGCAAATGTTTTGAATCATCCTGTCAAAGTATATACCCACCTAATGTCAATAACCCATATGTAGATATAGGCATGATGGGCAATATGTATGGCAGATGGCAGCATCATTTTAGATGATTATGTGCATCTGCCTTGTACAATGTTTACTATATTTCTAAATTTTGAAAAATAAATTATATTAAAATAAAAGGTTTGTGTTGTATAAATATAAATATGTTTAGACAAAAGTTTATTGGTTTCCTGTTTTTTATTCTATATTTGAAGCTCATTTAAGATGGCGAAGGGAGAAAAGGTTACTGAATACCCTGTGTCTGATGATAATGACGTTTTTTCTAGCACCAGTGATACCGGTGATGGTCCTATCATAAGGAAGATCAAAAGAGAAGACATTGCAACAGATGACCCCATGTTACCAGATGATTACATTGATCGCTTCACATCAAACAGATTTTCATGATATATCCAGTGTTGCCAATGAAGATACAACTGCAAAGATGAACACAGAGGTGACTGACTGTCAAAAATCTCAAACATGCTATGACATTGGCAAGCTACTTAAAGAGAAAATAGTTGGTGTAGGAAAAACACTTGAAGATTCTAAAAAAATATGATATACTGACAAAATACATAAACACTGACCAAATAACTCATTTTCCAATGGTGTATATAAACGGAAATAATCGACACTTCAGAGCCGAGTGGATAACGCGGCATCCCTGCTTGTATAATCGCCCCGTGTTGATGGAGGTTACTGCTTGCCATGTGTTCTTTTTTTTTTAAATAAGCAAGATCTGGATTGTATAGTTACTACACCATTTAAGAGGTGGACAATGGTCCACAAATATTAGGGTCACATGAGGCAACACGGTATCACGATAGTGCCATGGTAGCTGCTGACAGATTTAAATCTGTAATGGAGAAATTGCCATCAAACTGAATGACACGCTTAATGATCAGATTCAAAAGAATAAACACATCCTTGAAAGTATTACCAAGTGTATCTTGTACTGTGAGAGACAATGAATTGCATTATGAGGTCACCGGAATGATTCTACCTCTGACGCATTGAGTAACAGGGGTAATTTCCTTGCTCTTCTCAATTTCATGGCAGAGGTCGGAGATGATTTGCTGGCAGACCGTCTGGAAAACTGCAGAAAAAACGCAACAAACAGCAGAAAGACAATTCAAAATGAGCTAATTTATATTATTGGAGATACAATAACACACACAGTAGATGCAAAATTGTTTTCAATTCTCGCCGATGAAGTTACCGACTCAGCAAACTGCGAACAGTTAACGTTAGTACTCGTTTACGTTTCATCGATTCAGATGATGAAATACGTGAAGAATTTATGCAGAACTGCAGAAAGCGGGCAAGGTTACAATGGGGCAGCAAACATGCCAACTGCCATGAGAGGTGTTCAAGGAATTATCAGCAGACAGCATTCTAAGGAAATGTATACACACTGTAGATGCCATGTGCTTAATCTGGCAATTGTAAAGGCATGCTCTTTACCACAAATTAGAAACATGATGGATTCTGCAACCGAAGTGTCGAAGTTTTTTCAAATTATCTCCGAAGAGACAGAACCTTCTAGACAAATGTCTATTGAACCAAACCATAAAATTTCAAAAATTAAAGACCTGTGTAGAACTAGATGGGTATAGAGGCACCAGGCTTTTGAACATTTATAACATTCTTTCCGTAAATCATGACAACGTTGGAAGCTATGTAAACCAGAGTCGAGAACATGGAGAGTTGAACTGGGATAGGGAAACAACTATAAGAGCAAATGAACTCTTACATGTATTTGGATCATTTTCTTTCATAGTATCCTTGGTGTGTACCATGGCGATACTTGAGGTGATCAAACCTGTAAGCATAAAAATACTAAGACGAGGAATCGATGTTGTGAAGGGATGGTGGATGAAGTGATAGAGACCCTTTGTGGATACAGAAGTAATGAAGAATCGTTTACTATGGTGTACAATTAATGTGCCAGTGTTGCAGCAAATATTTGAGTTCAACCAAATGTTCCACGGACTACATACAGGTTTGCAGAGACACCGACAAAACCACCCACATGGTAATATAAAAGAGTATTACAAACAAACAATCTATATTCAATTGCTGGACCATACAGTCAAAGAATTACAAGAAAGGTACACCTTTGTTTTTTTTATTTCAAAGAATTTAACTCACTGTTTCCCTTTTGATTTGATGACATTTAATTAAACCCTTTTTGTGTATCATATATTTTTTTAGGTTTGGACCATTTCAAGAAAAATCAGCACACTTGATGACTCTTATTCCATCCTGTGGATGGATTCGATATTACAAGGGAAATGTTTTCCATGTATGAAGATGATCTAGATAATGCAGAGACACTGGACTTGAAGCTCAACAGGTAAGCAACACTTATGTGTGTAAACGATGTCATTTTATATGTATAATTACGCTATTTTAGTGGCAGGAAACATCTCTAAAAATACACATTGTTGTATTAGATGGAAGAAAAAGTGGTCAACGCAGAAAGCCATAGACCATGTGATTGTACCTGATTGTCTACAGGATGCTTTAAAGGTAATCAGGTTGGTTTTTTTTTTCAGTAGTATGTTTAGAAGTCATGTGAGTTATTATACTTATATTACAGTCTATACTATTATATTTTGTCATACTAGTGTTCTATCCTCAACATTTTATACTGTGACAATTACTTTTTCGTTTATAGTTGTGTGATAAAGATGCCTTCCCGAATGTCCACATGTTATTGAAGATGGATGTACCCTGCTAGTCACCACTGCTGAAACTGAAAGAAATAAAAGCTGTCTTAAATTAATTAAGACCTACTTATAAACAACTATGTTTAGGGATAGGCTATCAGGCTTTGCATTAATGAAATTCACTGAAGAAAACAAAACGATATTTGTGATGTTGTACACACATTTTGTACAAGAAAACCAAGGCGTATCCAATTTTTGGGTGGGTTATAACTTAAGTACACAACAGTTATCGATTTTACGGTTTGGGGAAAAAGGCTATATTAATATAGTGACTATAGTAGTAAATCTATTAATATTTTTATTTTTCAAATATGCTAATCAAAGAGGAGAATTGTTTTATTAAGCAATTTATAGTGAATTTTCCTGCCTTTGAATTATTTCTACCGATGCATCATTGGTACTTGCGTGGTGCACCTGAAGCCTTGAGCATATTTCACAGCTTAACACAGACAAGACTGGAGTGCGTCAAAGAATACTTTTTGTATTGTTGAACTGTATTGGTAATTTAATTGCATATAAACCATAAAACATTATTTCTGCTTCATGGCCTAACAAAAATCTAAGCTAATAAAAGTATATTTAATCATTTGTATTGATGTCTATATTACAACATAGTTAATGTTGTACGTGCATTACTTCTGAAACACAGATGGGGAATTCAGCATGTTATGCGACTGAATTCAAATCCTTAATTCAGCAAGATCAGTCTTTTGGGATTTTTGAAATAAAAAAAAATATTGGTCATGTCTTTTCTTGTATTGTCTCTGAATTTTTTCTGTATGTATATAAACATAAAAGGCCTATTTACTTTAATAAGAACGAGATAACTTGAACTGACTTTTTTCAAGAGGTGTACAATTTAAAATTTTTAAGAACTTAACATTCAATAAAAGTCCCATCAGAAATCGGAAAAGCTCATTTCCTGCCATCTAGGAATTTATTTGTATTTTTTATTTTTATTTATTTTTTTTAACCCACCTTCTTCAAATCCTGGATCCGCCCCTGATTATTATCTTGTTAATGTTCGCAAAGGATATGTATACGTACTGTACGGATAAAAAAATGAAAATTTGTTTAGTCTGTCAAAACTTGACTTGAAAATAGAAAACCGATTTTGTACAGTGCATGTTGTTATTATTTCAATTAAGTTTTGACAGACTAAATAACTTTTTTTTGTGTGTGTTATTCATGCAGTACTTAGATATATTCTTGCAAGTATTTAAAGAAAAAAATGTTGATGCGACCCTCCGTTATGGAGCTATGACTCTTCTAGTAACATGACCTCCGAAAACAAAGCCGGCACGCTAAATGATATTAAGTCGAACAGTGAAATAATGAAATGTACGTGTTAACACTACACAAAATCAGTCTTCCTTTTCCGCCAGTGAAGACGGTAATGGCACAACGAGTTGATTCCTAATATAAATAAAACGCCAGGAACCCAAAATATGTAACAAAACGTAATTTCCAGCTTCATTAAGTGCTGTGTGCGTTGAAATGAACGTACGGCACGTAAATTATGGAAAGTTTTGAAATGCTGAAAATGACCCGACAATTTCTTCAAATTATTTGAGAAGTGATATTGAGAATTTTTAAATTTGAACGTGGACGGTAATGGCAAACGAAATTAAACATTGTCAAGTTTTTTTTTTCTAGATGTGTATAAGAGACTTTTTTTTTTTTTTTTTTTAACCGCCTGTTAGTTGTTAAAGCCACACGAATTTTCCATCCATTTAGTCTGATAGAGTCGAAATACAGTCTGCCACCCTCAGCTGTGGTATTTTAAGAAAAAAAATTAAAAGGGCTCTAAAAATTAATCTTTTTTACCATGATCACGTGATCAAATTGAAAAATCAAGGGACACTCAAGAAAGAGAATTGTCTCACCTATAACATATACACTGGTCAGAGACGATCGAACAATAATGATACATTTAAATGAGTTTAAAAATACAGACGTCATAAATAAAAAAAAAATATTTTTTTTTTATTTAGATGGCAATATGATGTCACAATGTCCGATCAGCCATAATGATATATAAAATCATATCTACAAATCATGTGCTTTCAGAAAATGTAATAAAAATTGGAGGTCACTTTTCATTCTAAGGAGCTATAACTGATTGAAAATAGGCATACTTTTAAGCATACTGTATATAAATGTTGACGCCGCGTACGTGCACGTTAAGACGTGCGAACTGAAAAAATTAGGTACCTGACATTCATCCTTGACCTGTTGTGTATGCCTATTTAATATGATTAAGAAATGACGAATGGTTAAGATGATTAGAGGTCTTTAATATTTTGAGAAAAGAATGATGTGTGGGTCTGAAAAAAACATTTATTTTGACCATGATGACGTCATCAAAATGTAAGAAGAAGTAACATATGAAAGAGAATTGTCTCCGCTATAGCATACTTACTGTTGAAAGACGATCGACCAAGGATAAGCGAGATATGCTCCAATGCGTATTTTCAAAAATGACGTCATAGATATAATTCAGTTTTATTAAATTCGAATGGCAATATGATGAAGTCACCATATCCGATCAGCTATTATTATCTATAAAATCATACCTACAACCAGGAAACAGTGACATTTCACTGTTCTCGGCTACAACTCATGTGCTTTCAGAATATTTAATAAAAATTAGGGTCACCTTTCATCCTAAGGAGCTACAACTGATTACAAATAGGCCTGATTTTGGTGTCATATGTGCTGTACATATGAATAGATAGGCTAAAATTAATTATTTTGCCTCCCATATTAAATATCAAGATGGCGGCTATTTTGAAATTTAATATTGTGGTCATCTAACATAGTTTCTGATGGCTGTATGGTAGACCCTGATATCGAAAACATTTCAACGGTCTTTGATTGACAATGGTAGGTATTGTAGGTATGAATATTGACAAAATTATCATTAATTTGGCGGCCATTTTTAAATCCAATATGGCTGCGCCATCTGACACAATTTCTGATGATTGCATTAGACTCCTTGATATTGAAAACGGGTAATGATCTTCAATTGGCAATGACATGTGCTGTAGATATGAGTATATTGGTGGCCATATTAGATTTCAATATGGTGGCAATTAGGAGACGTTATTTTTTGGGGTCTATTTTTTTAATGATACACAGGTGTCATAGTATCACTATGGAAAGTTTTATGCTTTCTTCCAGAAGTCCAAGATTCTACTTGAAATTCAACCTTAGCCGCTCTACTATTGAAATATTCTATTCAAAAGCTAAATCCACATAATTTTATTTGACAAAATTCACCAATAAAATAATTCTTTCGACAAACTAAATTTTCCTACCTTGAAGGTGTTGGTCAAGACAATTATTTAGGAACAAATAAAACAAGTAATAACGTTTCTTACAGTATTTGTGTGACGTATATATGTTTTCGTGCACCATTTTATTTTTATTTTGACTTATTGAAGAGTTATTGTATTAAAGTATTATGCAAAATTGATAATTATTAATCAATAATTATTTTTTAATTGAAATAGTATGTAAATTTCCTTAATTTGTTTGAATTTCTTATACTTGTATCTAATGCATATATAAACGTATAATCAATTTGGCTTTTTTAAATTTCACTCGTATAAAGGCTAACTTATTAATTCCTCATTTATTGAATTGTATATACCCATTATTTTATTGATTTGCCTAATTTGTATTAATAGTTTTTGTGAATAGCTTTGATATATATATTTTTGGTTACATTATGACATTATTGTAAATAATTTAAGTCAAATAAACATGAAGGAAATCATAAAATTTAGTATGACAATTGTGACGTCACCCTATTGCCATCTGAATTCAACAAAACTGATTTTTTTTCAATGACGTAATGTTTGAAAATACGTATTTTAGCGTATCTCGCTTATCCTTGGTCGATCGTCTTCCAACTTTTAGTATGTTATAGCTGAGACAAATTTCTTTCATACATGTATCTTCTTTTTACATTTTGTTGTCGTCATCATGGTAAAAATGAATGTTTTCTTCTAAACCCATCGTCTTTAAAAAAAAAAACTTGATGACCCCATATCATCTTAAACATTTAATCATTTCTGAATCAATCTTAAATGAGCATAAAGTTCAGGTCAAGGATGAATGTCAGGTACCTTAATTTTCCGTTCGTATCTTTTAGAATGCGCATACGTGTACGTCAACTTTCATATCTTAAGCACAAAACCATGAATATTTTTAATCAGTTATTTTAGCTACTTAGGATGAAAAGTGACCCCCCAATTTTTATTACATATTCCTAACGCACATGAGTTGTTGATACGATTTTATAGATCATAATGGCTAATAGGAGATTGTGACAGCATTACATTGCCATTTCAATTAAGAAAAAAAAAACTGAATTTTATATTATGATGTCTTTACTTTTATACTCGTTTGAACGTATCTCGCTTATTCTTGATTGATTGTCTCTCACCTGTATGTTATAGCTGAAAAAAAATTCTCTTTTGGACGTGTCCATTTATGTTTTACTTTGACGACGTCATCATTTATTTTTTTTTTGGTGAATAATGAAAACAAAATGTTGTCATTCAAGACAAAACGTATATAAAACAAATAAAAACAATTATTCAAAAATGTTAAAGATGAATGTTCTTTTTTAAATGACAAAATAATAGCTTGGGATTATTGTAAAATGAAAGTAAAAGAGTTTTCAATCAATTTTGCAAAACATAAAGCAAGGGTTAGGAGAAAAATTGAAAAAGAGATATCAATCAAATTAAAACAACTTCAAGATCTCAATCCGGTTAATAAGGATCAGCTCAACGAAATCGAGCGTCATGAAAAAAACCCTTAATAAATTCTTCACGCATAAAATGGTGCGAAGAAGGTGAAAAAATAATTTTTTTTCCCTCGGGCTTGAAAATAATAATCAAATTAAGAAAACCATTATTAAATTGGAAACAGATAGTGATGAGGACCAAAAACAAATTTTAAAACAAGTAGTTGATTACTTTAAGACTATTTATAGTTCGATTAACCCCGAAGAAAATGAATTAAATAATTACTTAGACTCAGTTAAATGTTATTATATTTTAAATGAGAATGATCAAAACAGTTGTGAAGGTATGTTAACATTGCAAGAATGTGAAATAGCAGTTAAGAGTATGGCATTGAATAAGTCACCCGGCTGTGATGGTTTACCTGTAGAATTTTAGTTACTTTTTGGGACAGCGTAAACCTTATGTTAGTTGACGCATTAAACTATGCTTACGAAAAACGCGAAATGAGCGCCTCTCAACGCAGGGCAGTTATATCACTTTTGTATAAAAAAGGAAAACCTGAACTGGTTAGTAACTGGAGACCGATCAGCTTACTCAATGTCGACTACGAAATTGCTGCAAATGTTCTAGCAACTTGGGTAAAACCAATATTAAATACCATTATTATTGAAGACCAAACTGCATATATTAAAGGACGCTCCATCGGATCCAATGTAAGGTTAATTGATGATTTCATACATTTTTGTAACGAAACCAAGATAAATTATGCACATATTTTTTTAGATTTTGCAAAAGCTTTCGATACTGTAGAATGGAGTTTTGAAAGCCAGGCTTTAAAAAGATTCAATTTTGGTATATCTTTTATTTGTTGGGTAGAAACATTGTACAAAGTACGATTTGTAACAATGGTTTGGTTTCAAATTATTTTTGTCTGCAAAGAGGTTTGAAACAAGGATGTCCGCTCTCCGCTTTACTTTATATAATTATTTCAGAAGTATTAGCGAATAAAATCAGGCAGGATTCTTTAATTAACGATATTCAAATACCATGTGAACATAATAACACAGTGGATATTAAGATATCCCAATATGCTGATGATACGACACTGTTTGTGTCAAACAAGAAGTCATTAGATAGAGTACTAAAATTATTAAATGATTTTGGTAAAATGGCTGGTCTCAAAGTAAATTATTAAAAAAAACAATAGGCATTTCTTTAGGAAATATTAACAATAAAGCTTTTAGGTGGACTACTGATCCTGTTAAAACACTAGGAATATATTTTAGCAAAAACATGAATTCATGTTACGATCAAATATGGAAAGAAAAAAATGAAAAATAAAAAAAAAAAACTTTAAACAATTGGAGTCGTAGGAACCTCACTCTCTTCTGCAAAAACAACCATTATGAAAACACTGGGGTTATCTAGCTTAACCTTTTTAGCTGCTTCCATTCCCACTAGTGAGAAGGTTATAACAACTGTAAACTCTTTAATTTTTTTCCTTTACATGGAACGGTAAGAAAGACAAGCTAGAAACGTGATAATTTGGAAACCGGTTGAGGGCGGGTTAAATAGGTTTGTTTTGAAAGTCACTGTGGCTCTCTTAAAGCCACTTGGGTAAATATATTCTTAAAAAGCTCCGCTACATGGGCACAGGTTGCTACTACCTTTTTAAATAAGTTAGGACCGGATAATATGATTTTTAAAATAAATTTAGGCAAGATTAAAATATCCCCAATTTAAATTTAAATCAGATCCCATTATTTTATCGCCAGGTTATTTTAGCATGGTATTCATCATATCAGATATATACACCTATATCAACAGAAGAAATAAAAAGTGAAGTTATATGGGGAAATCATGTATTGGTAAACGGCAAATATAATTCTTTCCCTTATCTTAAACACTGGATTAATTCAGGAATAGTATATATCAATGATCTTTTAAATAAAGACGGCATATTATGACAATATTATAATAAATACAATTTTAAAACCTCTACAAATTGGTTAGTTGAATTAAAAACAAAAATTGATGATATTCCGGTTTAAATTCATTGAAAGAAAAAAATACGTAAAAATCCAGGAAAACTAAATTGTATGTAAAACAAATAAACAAAATATGCAGGTGCTTAAACAAAAAAAAAAAAAAATTATCATCCATTACTAATGAATTTTAGTTATAAATTTCTTTTTAATCTCATACCATGTCAATAAACTTATATTAATGGAAATTTATTGATTCGCCTCTGTGTAAAAGATGCAAAATTGAAGACGACTACACACATATGTTTATTTCATGTAAAAAGAAGTTTTTTGGAATCACTTTAAATTATTACTTTACGTTCACTTATTGTAGTTGATCATTTAAAAGGTCAAGATTACTTTTTAATTATTTATATGTTAGTTAATATCTTCTTTTTTTTAAATAGATTTTAAGTTATAATAAAATAGAAAGAAAGGTAAAAAGAGAAAAAGGTTAGAAAAAGGGAGGAAAACTGAAAATGTTTCGCTTGGTTGGCGGTAGTAAAATAATTTATATATGCCTATGTATATGATATGTATATGCCTATATCATTGTTGAATAAAAGTGGGTGAACCCCCCTCCCAAAAAAAAAAAAAAAAAAAAAAAAAAAAAACTAGATAACCTGAAAAAAAAAAAAAAAAAAAACTAGATTTGAACTCGTCACTGAGTACGAGTTAGGTGATCCGCCGCACTTCGACCCTCAGGAAGCACGCGCACTACGGATTGAAAAATTGTTAAATGTTCAAAATGATCTAAATTAGACGCTAATTCAGTTAATGAAAAAATGAATATTTTTTAGCAAATTTAAAAGATTTTCCCATGCGTACACACACGTATATGACGCACATGTGCATGGTAATTACACATAATGTTGAGGGATTAATAATTAATCTTAATGTTTATCATATATAATTTTTTTTATAGAAATTCTGATGGCAGCGTGATTACGTTACAACGTCCAATTAGCAAAAATGATCTATAGAATCATATCTACAACTCATGTGTTTTAAGAATATGTAATACACATTGGGGGTCACCTTGCATCCTAGGGAGCTGTAACTGATTAAAAATATTCATGGTTTTAAGCATATATAAATTTTGACGCACGCGTACGCGCATGCTAACAGCATCTTTTTGTATAAATTATCCCACTATGGAATCCGTGGACCAGCGCACAGCTTTTTTTTTAAAGTTATGTTTTTGACCCTGTACAATGTACCAAGTATTCCAACTCAATATCCAATTTCAGACAAATTGTCTGGAGTGTCAATCAAACTTAACAACTGACTAATCAGAACAGAGCTAGGAACACGCGCGCGTCTTACAAACACACGTGTTGTCCCACAAACGCATGTGTTCGCATTGCCGTCTTGTGGGACCTTAGCAACAATATCCAAGGGGCGGAGCTTAGCGGTAAGTCAATTACATGTGGAGTCCCCCAAGCCTCCCTACTTGGACATCTTCTTTTTATCATTTATGTTAACAATCTTTATTATTATCTAAAATTTTTCATTTTATCCCTTATGCTAATAATACTACTGTTTTTTTTTTTATTCTCATCATTATATCCAAAATTTATTTGATACTAATAACTCTAATCGCATTCCCATTTCACAGTATTTTGTGAAATTATCCCTGAATCGAACAGACAAAGTGTAGCTTCATCCAGTTTGGGACTCCTTTCGAAATAAAAACCATTGACACTTGAACCTATACAATCCAAATTGATGGCCACGAACAGTTGTTTGTCATGAAAAACCCACGTAAACGAACTTGAAACCAACATTTCCAAAAGCATTGGAATCAAGGTTATCCACTTTGTTACCCTTCAATAGTCTTCGTATTTTTTATTGTTCCTTCATCTTTCCTTTTTTTGAGCTATTATTGTAACGTTTTTCAAGGCAATTTATACTCGTCCACATTACAAAATCTGCAAATTCTTCAAAAATAATAATAATAAAACAAGGATTATATCTGGCCCTCTACGACTCATTCATCCCATCTCTTCTCAAACTTAAACCTACTGAAACGCAAAGATATCAATTTGTTCCAACAAGGCTCATTTATATATTCTGCAGCACATCATTTTCTGTCAACTCAGTTTTTAACGATATATTTATTCACAATCACTCTATTCACAATTACAATACCCGACCAACTCGAATTAATGTACCCATTCATAATACAAATCACTTTTAGCACAATATTAGATACTCAGGTCCCACTTTCATCAACAGTTTACCATCCACAATTATAAATTCCTTTTCTTTTAAATGTTTTTCCTCAAAGATTAAAAAAACACTTGATTTAAAGTATAATCTACGCCTTTGATTTACATTATCGGTCATTTCTCGATGTGTCCCGCTATGATTTAAGATTTATTTATTTATTTATTTATATGTTTGTTTGTTTGTGTTTTATTTATTTATTTATTTATTTATATATGTTTATTTATTTTTTCTTTCTTTATTTCTTAATTTATATCCCAATTTACTCTTTTCATTTTGTTCAACAGTTAATTCAAATCAGATAAAGATAAATTTTGCTGGAGGCTTCTTTTGATTCTGTTTCTCACACTCTTCTCCATAAATTTCCGATATTTTAAATATTTATTCAGGATTAATGATTGGCTAAGACATCGTTCCATAGAAACATCCTTTGAAAGAATCCTTTACATACACTTGATATTTTCAGCGATGTTTTACATGGCAGTAAGGCTCGACTTTATGCACGTAAGCTCGAGATGCGGTCGACTCAAATGTTCATTATTTTCCCCCACTTTTCCCCCACTAATTGTTACATTGCGAATTTTTTAGGCTCAGTACGGACTCCAGAAAATATGCATTTTCTTTTAGTTTTAAAGCATATGCGGATTTTATAAGTCTGCAATGACGATATAGTTCATACTTTTAAAAAGATATGAACATTTATTTTGCAAAACAGCACATGCACTTTGGTTGATTCCGTTGATTTTTTTTTTTTTTTTTTCTCAACAAATCCCACATCCAATCCTCAGTTTATGGCCCTCTTCGTAAGTGTGACTTGATTTTGTTTTCATCGAATTGACTTTTTTTTGTTTAGATTGTCAATCCCTTTGTCTCTTCTCTGCAAATATTATTTTGTCTTCATTTTTAGTTCTTCTTTTTATTCTTAGTTCACTATGAAAAAAAAAAAAAAACTCAAATCATCCCCTTCACACCTTTCTTCCTCACTCTGTAATTGTTCCATCTCTCTTAAAAACTCTCGCCACACAAAATATCTTCAATTTTCTAGTAGCATTTTGAGGTCTTGTTATATTTTCATCATTATTCAATTAAAATTGAAAACCTTACGATTTACCCTTTGTTTATTTCCCCCAACGAGATAAAAAAATTAAGTTAGGCATTCTTAACCAGTAATGTAATGTATTTATTATATTGGTTGTATATAAATGTGGTGTTAATGATTGGATGATCACTCGATAGCTTTCGCAACAATACCAAAACAATGTTCATGCTTAAATCTTGAACTTACAATTGAAAAGCGATAGTTCTCAATGCAGTGCAAATAAACATAGATCAAAATGATATGTATTTATCTTAACTCTGAATTAAAAATTAAATAATAAAAATATACAATGAAGATGCATTTATATAGGCCCTATGGTATCGTAGATTTCGTTTGGGGAATGCTTGATCTTCTTAAGTGCTGAACCTTACGTGATAATTTTCAATGATTCATGTGTTGCAATAAAAGCTATATATGTTTTGTCATTTCATTTTTCTTCGTTATATTCATTATCATTTACCAATCTAAACTCATAATCATGTAACACACATTATTTTGGATCTTTACAAACATGTTGGTATCATCAACAATTAATCATTCATCCATGTTAAAAATAAATTACATATCAATGTCAATTACTATTTACAGTTTTATATATCGTGATAGTAATTATGTAAATATTATTGAATTATTATGTGTCTATGGCATATTTAAACCAATTAGCTTCACGTGATCGTTCTGTGATAATATCATCTATTTTGTGCTATTTTTAAATAGAAATTTTTATGAAGTCAAAACTGCAGGTGATTTTCTTATTAACTATACATATGCCCAAATCTAAAATTATGTAGAAATTAATAGCAGCAATTGTCTACTTTAAATATTCCAATTATATAGATCCGATATCAACAGATATATTGTTTATTTGCAGAGGTATACTTACAATTCCTCCATCATTGTCTGATTCAGGAATATACCTGGTACAATATCTTGAATTTCATTTCCAGGAAATTTGCTGTAAAAAAAAAAAAAAAAAAAAAAAATATCAAATGAAATTGAAACAAACATACGGTGTGTATAAAACGCCTGGTTTCCATATAACACTATATCGACGAATCCTTTGGCGATGCTGATTGGTCAGTTTAATTTTGGACCGTTCCCCGAGAACAGCACGCAGTGCAAGGATTGCAGTTAAAACGCTGTAGCGACTATGTAGTGATTGTATGGCAACCGAGCTTGTTAATAGTTATTGTGGAAAAAAATGTTGTCCGTGACTGTTTGTTCTCTTAACCAATGATTTGATCAGTTATGTTTGTCCACGACTATTATTAAAGATGACAGTTGCTGTTGATGACTGTTGTCAAATAGTCTATAGTTTAACCATGGTTTAACATACGCTATTTGGAGTATTGGGTAGTCCATGTTGATCGGTAAAACCTTTAATCCACGAATGGTATCCAGTTTTCTATTAAATAAATTTAAAAAAAAATGTAACAACATCCAACTTGAACTACAGATAGTTGGTCTACATGTATATAACCTGATTGTCATGTAACACAACATGGATGTCTGGCAAAATAACAAGACAGTTGAAAAATGAGTATATTGCTATTTTGAAGTTTATGCAGAAAACGATCTCAAATTCTAACAATTAAATACTATTTATAGACATACACAATTTACAAAAAAATGCCTAGAAACGTGTGGCGTAGGATATAAGCCTCGAGACACATCTGCATTTGCCTCTCTTCACCCAAGTGTACGAATAAGTACCGAACCTCGAGTGCTGACAATGGAGCGGAGTAGTTTGCACTTTGTGTATGACTGATTTTGTATTCAATAATCAGGGGAAAAACGCTTGTGCATTTTGAATATGTGCAAGATACATATCCTATAAAAGAATAGCAGTAATAACACTACTAAAAGTAAACATTACATTATCAAATAATTATGAAACCGAATATATATTTTGACCTAAATAAACAACTATCTGTATTGACAAGCAATTTTTTTTTTTTTTTTTGCAAACTTAATATCATGACGCAATAATTTAACCAGGAAAAAAGTTAGGTAACATACGCCAGGCTTTTCTTATGCAAATATGAATGAATATGGTACTTACAGGTACTTTATAAAAGGTTTGATTAATATCGTTTCATTCCATTCAATTCCATAGCACATAATTCCAAATTTTTTACAGGTGCAACCAGCTGGGCATTTATTGTCTGAGACAATACAAATAATCGTAGGTCGTTATTAGTTCTTTTGCGACTTGCCATATTATCAACATGATCATGATCATCAGCATCACCATCGTCATCATCATAAATCATCATCATCATATTCATCATCATCATCATCATCATCATCGTCTCATCATCACCACAATCATCACTATCACTATCACCATTAATATTCCTATCATCAACATCATCATCCTTATCATCATCATCGTCGTCGTCGTCGTCGTCATCATCATCGTCGTCATCATCGTCATCATCATCACCATCATCATCATCATCATCATCATCATCATCAACATCATCATTATGATGATCATCTTAATTATTATTATTATTATTATTATTATTAATTATTATTATTAATATTATTATTAGTGTATATTTATATAAATATTCTTTGAAATAGATAAAAACACTTACTGCAATAATATTCGTCATTTCCTTCAAAACAATTTTTCAGACTGTCACAACACTTATCATACGGTAAGCATACAGATGAATTCTGACGATTATATTCTTGGGGGCAGATGTTTAAAAACTCTTTAATATGAATACAATAGATTGAAAAAAAAAATATGTAAGAATCATTCTCTATAATGAGAACTAGTGTCATAACGATTAATTATACGGCCCAGTGGGAGAAAATGTTGGGGGCCTTTGGATATCAGGGGGAAAAGGGAATATAAAGAGAATATACGTCAAGGGAAAAAAAATGTTACATTTAATTCTCACTGAATTTAATGAATTCAAATATTAGAATTCTAAATATATCATATGACTATTCATCAATATTAATCAACTTCTATTAAATATAGTAAAAAAATAGAAAATGTTTGCCCATTTACTTTTAATGTGATGTTGTCATTAGCATGTTAAATGCTTAATATCATGGAATTGGGGTTTTTATATAAACATTATCTTCCTTGAAGCTTTGTTAAACTTTTTCAAAATGTTTTATTCCGATCAGTTGATCATTTTTTTTATATTATATCTGGGTCTTATATATTGAAATGATCCTCAAATTTGCACTTTTAAGTGATTCGTCGCTAGCACATAAAAATTCTTTTCTCTTTCGAAAATTTTATTCAGATCAGTTGATCCGTGTTCTAAATATGTGGTCTGGGAATTATAAATAGTCCTCAGATACATACCATACTGCGGATTGTCACAAAAATGTTTGTTTTTTTTTTTTGTTTGTTTTTTTTTTTTTTCCAAGACCTTTACAAAGTATTGTAAACTGTATAATTTAGAGTCAATGTTTCATTTATTTAAATATGTTTAGGCCTGGGCCCTAACACAAATTGAAAAACCCTCTAATTTGCACAATTCACTGGATCGTCAATAACACATAACAAATTCTTCATTCTGACCGTATGTTTCATTCATATCAACTGATCGGATTTTAAAATATCAGGTGCAGACTGTTTGACCTTACATTTATTTAATTACTCCTCAGACGCACATCCCACCATAAATTGACACCAAATATTAGTAGGCACATCAATGAAAAAAAAAGAGGAAATTATGCAAGAAAAAAGAAAAAAAAAATGTCAGAACAAAAACAATGGCTTTTCCCAGTATGGCTTAGAAAAGCCAATTATAATAATAATAATAATAATAATAATAATAATAATAATAATAATAATAATAATAATAATAATAATAATAATAATAATAATATATGCGTAACTCGGCGAGTTTTTGTGTTTATTAACATTGATAATCGGCTTAATACGTTTTGTTGATAAGCGGCCTACGTTGTCTGAACGAAAATTGTATTTACTTCACTATATGTGTATTTTCTTTTGCAATTTTTGTAACACTACATGTATACAGTGCTAAGAACTAAGTTTATTTATAATATTGTATGAACTATGTAAAAGTGATTTTATAGCCTATATTTTAATAATCACAGCATCGCACACGTTCGGATACTTTGAATTTTGTAGCAGGGAAAATAAGCCATAATTGTCTTGGAACACTTTTTGTTCGTTTTTCGCTATTGACGTTAATTGACTATTGAATTTGAATAGATACGTGTCGTATGGACCACAAAGGGTCTGTTACCTAGGTATCATCTTTCTTTTTGCAAATTTCTGTATTTTTAGTTCATGTGAACTTCGTAATATTTAAGCAGAATTTTGCAATCAGTCATCCCTAACATGTGAAACTGTAACTTAAGAGCTTTTACTATTGATTTATTAATTAGCATTTACAAACTTACAATAATGCTATATCTCATTGGTTTATTCAGACATGCAAAATGTGTGTTTCACGCACTTACCTTTTTCACATATAGGTAGGGCGATATTACTACAGTTTGCATTCTTTAGTAATCCTCTCGGATGTATTGCAGTGCAATCTTTATCGTTAGGTTCTCCGATAAACAAGTCTAATATCAGTAATAATAATAATAATAATAATAATAATAATAATAATAATAATAATAATAATAATAATAATAAAAATTAAAGAACCTAACTGCAATTAAT